AACTTACATTACGACTTACAACAACGACGAAGCTGAATGTAAATCTTTCCGGATTAAATTTAGACGCGAGTTGCCAGAAAGAAATCCCACGTTTGAGACTTTACATCGTGAGAATGCTGATCGAATGTAAACGAATGTTATTATTGTGAAGGAATACATAATTGATCAGCAATTCTCATGTAGATACCTATGTAAATTGAGATACGCTAGAAGAAATCTGTCAAAGAGTAAAAAAGAGAGAGAAATTTATTTAATCCGCAGCTGCGGCGAAAACAGGAATATATTATGAATTTCAATGGAGGCATTTTGCAATTGCAAACAATTGCTAAGAAACCGTGTATTTACAATTGAAAACTGAAAAACGCAAGATCGCAATCGAAAAGCTTTAACGAAACAACTATGTTTATCATCAAATTGTCACTTAGTAATAGTTACTTCTTACATGTAACACGCTATATAATTATATAAAAAATTTATAGTATTTATCGAAAAAGAACGAAAACTACATAAATATTAAATTAATGTTTTGGAATTAATACTTCTAGATATACTTCTGTGTATTTCCATAGTAACACCGAATATATTGTTTCAGATCATTTTATATGCCATGTCGTTCGTTAGCTATAACTTAATCAACTATTTCGATGTAAAAGAAATTAATATCAATTTCTCGGACCTTTTTGATTTCATTTTTAGAAACTTGTGAAGATTTCCTGATTTTTATTCAATGATTGTGGATTTTTATGCATTTACGAAAAATTTAAGGGTGGAAAAATGCAGACAATGACTAGCATATAATAATGTAAAAATATTTAGAGTATATTATGTATGAATATATATATAATATAATATAATGAAAGCAGACTGTTTGTTATAACATTTAATCAGGAGAATCAAGTTTCTTAGGCTCTATTTCTTCAATTATGAAATCCTATAAATATCTGCTAAATTTTAAGGACTTGTTGTAAAAAAGAGACTTAATCTTATCGTGACAAAAAATTTTCAATGTTTTTTTATTTTTCGAGAATAAAACTCTTACTTTCTCACCCGCTTTTTTATGATATAAAAACATCTTTGTAAAACACGAACTCAAGACTATGAAAGTAAAAACTTTACTCTTTAAAAATGAGATCAAACAGATTGTTGTACGATTCTCTTCTACAAAGTTATAACAATTTAAAGTATCGATTTAATTGTGCTCTTCTCACTGTATGTATAAAGCTATTAGTATTAGTAAAATAATTACATACTTCTACTATGATAAAACTTGTAAAGATGTATCAGAATTTCTTAACTGTCTTCATTCATTGCGACAACTTGTACAAGTTTAACAATCAATACAATACTTTTAGATAACGTAACGTAATTCGAGAAAGTGATTCGTGTTCTTGTAACACGTTTCGCATTGGAATTACATTCTGTACTTCAGAATGTGACGAAAATATCGAAATAACTTACGTTATTTTTATTGTTGTATTTTTATATAAATTTTTAATTAGATATGTAACAAAATCTTCAATATCGAATTGTTCTCCTTTGGATTTAATTAGGAGGTGCAATCTCTTCATTGTTAATGAATTAATATTGAATTCTTATTGTTTCTCAAGAGTAAGAATATTATAACACTTCTTTGTATTTTTTGTCAATTATAGAAACATTTTATATTTGCATCTTTATCTACAATAATTTGTATTTTTATATCTACTTTTTATATCTAATTAAAAATTTGTTGAACCTATTGAAACCTACAAAATAAATAATTAAATATTAAGTGCAATAAAAAGTACAATAAAACCGTCATTAGTTAATTAAAGTTCCAGAATAAAGAATTTACATTACAAATTAAGATAACATTCTATTTCTCTTAATTAACTGCTGTTTCTTCAATTCTACATATATTTATAAAATAAAATAAAGAAATTTTAAATATATATATATATAATATAATTAGATAGTACTATTAAACATATCCTTTCATTACATTTTAAAAATAAAATAGGCAAAACGTGTTAATTTCATATAGTAATCAACATGTTAAGATACATCTTATCTATATCATCCATATTTATTAATAATTTATTTTTTTGATTTCAGCCTGGACATCGTGTACCTCGATTTAATATAGTAAATTGGGCAGTCTGTACACCAGCATCATGTAGTTTCAAAGACGTTGAAACGTCTATTCACGAAATCCTTACTAGATACAGTTCACAAACTGGTCTGAAAGTTACAGTGAAGGTGAACAAAGATATGTGTCAAGTAAAGAGTAAAGATCCTGTACCAAACGAGACTGTACTTGTTAGGTGAATATATTTGAAAGACATTTATTTATAATGGAGAAGAGAAAATTAGGAAACAAATTCTTAATATAATGTTTTCGACATTCAGAGAATAATGTTTAGTATTTTATTAAAGTGGTAACTAATATCTTTTTCAGCTTGCTCGTCATGGCTATATTTGTCTTAACAATCGTAGCAGCACTTTATGATCATTACAAAATACCAGCGAGTGAACTGCTATTATCGTTTTCTTTAAAACGTAATTTTAAAAAGCTTGTATCATTGGAACGAAGGCAGAATGACATAGCTACACTTCATGGCATTCGAGCTATAAATGCTCTAATGCTGCTTCTTGCTCATAAAAGCATGGCTCTCTTTTTTAATCCTTATGCAAACAGAACGGAAATGAGCGAAGTATGATTGCGCTATTTAAAGAAATTAATTTATAGTAAAATAAAGATTGATTTATAATCACTGTTTGAGATATAATAAAAATAAAATTAATTTTTTCCAGTATCTTGGTAAACCATGGACAGTCATAGGAAGAGCTGCCAGCCTTTACACAGATCCGTTTATAATGCTTTCTGGCCTTTTAACATCATATTCTTTTATTGGAAAACTAAAAAAGACTGGCAACTTGGACATAAAAGATGAATATGTATCACGTTTGATCAGGTTAATTCTAAAGAAAACTTTAGAATTAATACCTTATCTTCAATTTTAGAATTTTTTACTAATTAAATTGATTTTTGTATTTAGGATAGTACCACCTTTGGCAACTTTGATATTGTTATGCACTTATGTAATACCTTACATCGGTTCTGGGCCACAATGGAACTTGGTGATAACTGAACATGCAAATATTTGTAAAAATACATGGTGGAGAAATTTCCTATTCATCCATAATTATTTTGGATTTGAATCTATGGTATAGATTTCATGTTGAATTTTGTAAAATTAACAGATAAGATAGGCTAACAGATAGGACAGTTTTTCTTTAAATTTAAAATTTTTTTAATTTTAGTGCCTCACACATACTCATCACTTAGGCATAGATATTCAATTATTCGTTTTCTCACCTTTAATGGTGCTTCTTCTTTATAAAAAGCCAAAGATTGGAGCCATCATTCTTACTGTGTTTGCTCTGTTTTCAACGGCACTTCGATATTTTGTAACATATTACAGAGAATTAAGTAATTATGTCTTCTTTGGTACCTCGTAAGTTAATAAGTTTACAAGTTTACAAATTCCAATTGTAATGCAATTTTCTTGTTATTACAATACTTATAAACTTATATATTTGCAGAATAAAACAACTATTCGATACTGCAGATTTTTCATATACTCTACCCTCGCATAGACTGACAGTTTATATAATAGGAATTTTCATGGGATATTTGTTAAGATATTTACCTAGAAATTATAAGATAAATAAAGTAAGTAAACATATTTATGACAATCTATAGATATTCATGTAATATTATTTTTTTACGTTTAATTATTTTCATATTTTCTGTTTTTTAGATAGCCCTTTACGCAGGTTGGATTCTATGCACAATAATGTGCTGCTGCGCATTTTTTGGGCCTGCCGGTATGGGATCTATAAATTATATATACAACCCAATAGATGCAGCAATGTATAATGCATTTGCTCCTATTGGTTGGTGTGCCATTTTCGCATGGGCAACTTTCATGTACCATACTGGAAATACAAATGGTAAAAAAATATAAATAATTGTTATTCATATTATAATTATATGTATTATAAATATATGAATTTGATGAATAAAATTTTAGATTGGTTCACTAGATTTTTAGCATGGAAGGGATTTTTAATTACTACAAGGCTGAGTTATGCAATATATTTAACTCAATTTCCAATATACTTTTATAATGTTGGAAGAACTCGAAGTGCAGAACATTTTGCATTCTTTAGCATGCAAGTAAGTTGTAATATAAACTTATGAATAAATATAATTATTAATAATATCTCTTTTTTTTTTTACAGTTCGATCTAAATGAATTTTTATGCATTATGGTTTTATCAATAATTCTTACTTTACTAGTTGATACACCATTTCAAAATATTAAAAATTATTTAATGAAAAAATCTTTATCGCCAGAAGCAACAAAACAATTGTCGAAAGTACAATAATTTTTTTACCAAATAATTATAATTTAATCAAAAATACTGTAAATAGCATCTACAAATTTTATTTCATTGTTAGTCAAATGAAATCCTATAGTTTGCCCTCATATACAATGTATATGACAGCTGTAAGAACAATTATAATTTATACAAATATTCTTATATTTGATTTATATAAGTATCTGTAAATAATATTTTTATAATTGTAATATTAATGTTAATATTTTAATATTAATATAATTTTTAAAACTCTTTCTGTGAATACAAATATATACAAATTTTGATTTAGTTTATTTTATTATAGTGTTATTTATTTAAGGGCATCTTTTTTATTCTATTATTATTTTAAATGAACTGCACATTAGTGAAAATTATAAACAAAATGACAAATTTATATGTATAAATTGTATATGTTTCATACTATTATTGTACTATTGAGTCTTCAGTTAATAATGTTATTTCTGTTTTAACTATAATTCAGTTAAGTTTCAATAAAACATATTCAATAAAACAATTATTGAGGATTAATAAAATATCATTTTATTTTTTTGAACTTGATTTCTTTATTATCTTAGTAGAGTATCATTAAAAAAGAACATATTTTTGTGTATACAATTATTATCACATTAAAGTTATTAAATGTAAAATGCGATATTACATTCATAAACATATATACATGCATATATAGAACTTATGAGTATGTATATTTTGACATTGTATTACTATTCTATTCGATTTTAATTAAAATCTGTTAATTTTTATACAAGGACATAAAATTATATCTTAAATATTTAAAGTAAATACAAAGAATAATTCATATTTTCATTATTCGTAATTAATCGTAAAACAATTATGACTCAAACATATAATGGTAAACTCTAATCATTATTTGAAAAAGTTTTACACTACTGCATCACTATGCATATATTACTTAATATATAAAAATGTATCATTAATGACGTTAAAAAAAATTAACTTAAAAATATATTGAACAAAACAATGTATCAAATGATACTTACAATATCATCTTTCTACAGATGAAAATTTTATAACAAAATCTTATTAATTATGCAGGCATTACAAAAACTGGAATTAAAGAAAAATGTTTATATTAAAAAGAAAAAAATAAATATATATAATAAATATAAATAATCATTCATTGAGATATGAAAGGTATCCAAAAGCATATATTTATGTTTTGTTATTATAAATTATCCTTACCTCCAAACATATGTACAATAAAAATCAAAAATTGTTTAATAGAATATATGACTATTTATTGATATATATTTGTTTATATTAATTATTAATGATTGATTATAAAGATACTTTAATTTAAATATTAATGTCACAATTGTTATACTTTCAGTTAAACATTGTACATAACTTTGAAGGATATACTATAACTAGACTTTAAATAACTGAACTAAATAATCAATCTTTTTATAAATATATAAATTTTACACATTTGGAAGCTCATAAATAATAATAAAGTTTATAGTTTAAGAATATTTGAATATTTATATTGATTATTTTTACGTTATATAAATTTATATACCTGCTAATTGCCACTCTTAATGCAAAGATAATGTATTTAAGAGAAATCTCGATTGGTTAATACTGCTGGTGCTATCACTGACCACACATATAATCCCAAACACATCCAAGACGATATAATTTTTATCCACATTGAAGCATTATTAGAGTTCAAGGTATCCAAATTAGAATTTGGTCTATAAAAACAATATAATTTATACATTTAGGATAAAAAAGTTGTATAATTTTATGTGATATGAAATACTTACTGATACCAATTAGTAAGTGTCATCATAACATATAAAGTGGCAAGAGCAAACATCAGATGGAAGAAACTCCAATTATAAGCTACAGCATCTTCTTCGTTATCCCAAACTTTAGCCTCATTTCCAGCTTCTGAATCAACGTTGCGACCTTCTACCGGAGTATAATCTGGTTACAATTAGGAAAAGGAGGAATAACTTAAAAGAAAACATCTATCTACAATGCCGTTATCAATAGGCCAAATATTCCTATTGGGGTTAATAATAAAGCAAGCTGATGAACGATATTACATTCGTGCATATTATAATAATTATGTATACATAATTTGTTTTAAATTATGTATACATAAATCGAGCAGCATTGCAGAGATAAGTAAAGTAAAATTAATGCAGGAGAAGGCATTTTTATGTAGCATCAAAATTATATTTTTAATTGACTAAAATATTTGTTTTGAAAAATTATTTCTAAAACATCGGATATGAAAAACGTAAGAGAAAATATGTAAAATAGTGAAAGAAGGCACACGCTACTACTAAGCATCTCCATATTTTATATATACTTTAAAATTTGATTTTATTAAAAAATAAATATTATATAACCTATCCTTTCTAAAAATTGAGAACTTATATAACTTATCCTTTCTAAAAATTGAGAACTAATTAAATTTATTCAAATGCATAAAAACATACTATATGATGCTACATTTTTTTAATGATAAAACAAAACAAATAAAATAAACAGTAAATTTTGTTTTAATTTAATAGTGTGTGCCTACCTTCATTGCCGATAAGACTTTGGTCTCCTGCATTCCTGACTGCATGAAGAAAGTACAATTTGTTAAAAACATTTTAATAAATTACTAATATGTATTTAAATATATAGAGTTACTATGTAATTAGTTTTACTATAATTACTTATGACTTGAATGGTAAAACACATATATCAATTTTATGTAAAATATAAATGGAGCTATATTTACATACCAGCTCCGTTATCCTTGACCAAAATGTTCTCAGACATTGTGATCTTTGATGATTTAGATGCAGTACGCAAAGAACTATATAATACACAGCTAAACCAAATAATTAATCCAATAATGCTTTCCTTATCAAAGGCAACACGTGCATTAGCATCATTACCAGAAATTATTACCAAGAGTCCAGGATTACATTCATGATCTGAAAAAAACGAAAAATTATTATATAAATAAATATTAATATATTAGATTTACATATTTAAAATATATACCTGAACTGTTTGAAATTCCACTCCAAGTTAAATAAACAACATATAGTGATACAATAGAAGATTGAAGGAGCCCAGATCGTGGATTATGTTCTTGCACATTTGGAAGAGTTGATACAATACTAACGATTACACACAATATCAGGTTGAAAGATATGAAAAACTTGTTCAAATCACAACTATCTGCCTATATAAAAGAACAATAATAAACGAAAGTGATTTTAAAAGCCAAGTATTAACAAAATAATATAATTATTTTATTAAAAACTTACATGTGTAAAGTATATGAACAGTAGAACAATTCCAGTAATAGAAACAGCATAATTAAATAACGTTGCTCCCAAAAGTGCAGCATACCTATAATTTTAATCATATAAATTTATTTATTTTATAGTAATCAAAAAATAGCTAATAATATAACATACCATCCTTTTGACTCAGTTTCTTCATAATTCCCTACCCAGTTATCTGCCCATGTGTGGGCAAAATCAACGATCAGAATCAATTGAATAATAATAAAAAGAAAACCACCTATCATACCAAAATACATCCATGTTATTCCAAATGATCTTTCAGGTATAAAGAAAGCACCAATAATTCCACCGATTATTAAAAGATATTTAATGGCCCAGAATCTAAAAATGCAATCCATATATTAAGTTAATCTGTAATCTGTAATATACATGTAATCTACATATAACAAATTATTTTATCATACCCATTTTGTATAGGAGCCCGAGGATCTTTAGAACTTCTTACTCTTATCATCATGATTGACATTAGGAAAAAATAAAGAGCTATAATAAAACATATTCTATACACTGCCAAATATCCAACGGCAGATTGACAATCAATAGTTAAATCAGATGGTACATATGAAATATTATTACAAAATGGAACCTACAAACGTAACGTATGCAGAAGATTAATTTATATTTACCTATACCTTATATTTACTATATACTTTAATTTAACATTATATAATTTCATACTTTAAATTATTACCTTTTTAAGTGCATCCTGCAAACCAGGTGCCAATGTAATGCAAGCAGCAATGGTTCCCAGCATTAATAATAACGCATACATAATACGAGTACTTGTACTGTTGCGACATGTAGGACATTGGGAACAACAAAAGCTACAAGCTGTGCTTCCACAAAGGCAAGCAAGCTACATGAAAAAATTATCAAATCAATATGAATTATATAAGAGTATTTGTATTAATATATTGTAACATTTGTATATATTTCATTCTCGCTATGTGGTAAAATAGTTATAAAACTATTATTTAATACTACTTTCTAGAACATTTTTATTTGAGTTTTATTTCGAAAAGCGTAATTCCGAACTATTACAACTCTATTTTAAGAAAATTAATTTTCATAGATATCTTTGTATCTATGAAATTTGTATCTTTGTA